ATGCTCTACCAGCTGAGCTAGAGGTCAGACTGAGAGCAGGCCGGGGTGAAATAGTTGTTAGGTAGCGGTAATTGTGATGCAAAGATGAGAATATGTGGACCGCATAGCACTTATGAAATACATGAAGATATAGAAATRTAGATAAGTTATAGTGCTTGGGTAGCCAGTRAAGTCACCCATAAATTTGCTTGCTCAGACTTGAGACGCCCAAATTGGTTCGGTCAACAACAGTTGAAGGCTGTTCACTACTTAAGGGAATTGTCAAACAAATATAATTTATTAAGCAGTAATAAAGCGCTATAAAACATTTGAAAGGCATTTTAGATTAATTTTGCCCTGGACTCACCGGTGACTTCACTGTAATTCCTTCATTGACTATTAAAATAAAGTACTAACTTTAAAAGACTTATTAACACCTATTACTGATAGTAATTTACCTTTATATCTTTTTCCTTTTTTTTCCTTCCTAATTCCTATCCATCAAAATGGAAAAATTCCACAATGCTACCCAGGTCTTAAGGACCTTACAAGTTTAGAGACCTTTATGGGCATCTGCTAGCATTCCTGTGGAAAAATTCCACAATGCTACCCAGGTCTTAAGGACCTTACAAGTTTAGAGACCTTTATGGGCATCTGCTAGCATTCCTGTGGAAAAATTCCACAATGTTACCCAGGCAGAATTGTGGAATTTAGTCTGTGGAGGCATCCAGAAAAGATTTCTGTAATTAAAATATATATTCCATTTGTTTAGTAACTTTTGGAATTTTTATTCCTTAACAATTAAATATACAACTTAAAAACATTTTTGACTTTTTCTTTTCAGAGGAGCAATAAATGCTGGGTAAGTAAAAATATTACAAAATGCTTTTAAATAATCAATGATTAGACCTGTAAGAATAGTTTACTTTTTAAATTTATTAGAAAATACTTTTTTTGAACTTCATAYACCCTTAAACAATATTTTTTTGTGTGGAAATATATGTTAATTATTTGTTTTGCACCTAAAAATGCAGCATCTCATTATGATATGTTAGATGATTCTCAAATATAGCTCTTAGTATACTTCAACTTCATYGCTGTGTTAGCATAACTTTGTCTACAATATCATTGCTACTAACGCCAAGATTAACAATAATAATATCACTGATTTGGGAAAAAATAAGGATGGTAACTTGAAACCTTTAGCTGTTAATTTGACAAAGAACAACTCTTGCTTCTAGGTGTTAACATAACTAATTGATTATAGTGACAGTTATGAAATATAATGTCTGATCATCTAGAATACTGATTCAGAAGTTGACTTTTATTAAATTATGTTTAGATTTGTGAGAGATAATTATAATAAATTAAACTTAATTAATGATCTCCATATCTAAGTTTTGATATTTCTTTTAATATTATGATTTGCAATATTTATGCAGATTGATGGAAAAGCTAAAAGCAATGACTAAATCTGTTATATATATATATATTTATATATGTATATATAAATAATGTTACATTTCACTTATAGACATATTGCACTGATTGCTTAACTTCCTATTATTACTTGTAATGAATTTAATATCTGGTGAGAAACCAATAATCAATAGTCTGTAACAGCTCTTAATGAACCAGCAGCTTTGATTTAACAAACTAACGCAAGGCTCAGGCCAAATCTYGAGCTTCACGAGCGGTATGCATTCTTTTATGTCTCTCTCTCAACTGAAGTACATTGTTTGTATTCAGCCTTAAGGTAATTCCCTTGAAAGAAATTTTGCATGGACATTAACTATGTAATGGACATTTAAAAACTGCAATAAAAATATGGGGTCACCATTCTCCTTGTTTCGCTAGATGCACTCCAAATAATGTCAATTTACAGGTTTTATAGTGAAATGCGGTAGCAACTGGAAGCTGTAATCAAGAACCTTTATTCACAGTTAAACAAAACATACTCATAAATGGAAGTTTACTAGATAATCTTTACAATTAAATCCATCAAAGTCATTGGATGACTATGATTCTTGAACTATTAGTGAAAAATGCAGGTATGTGCGCCTCTACGGCCTTCCAAAAATTGCACATGTCAACTATTCCCATCAAAATATTTCAAAATCTATCCAATAAACTTTCCTTCATATTTTGATATATAATGATGAGCATCGTATTTATCAAAAATCTGAAATAAAAAATGGGGGTCACCATTCTCGTTTTTGATTTATCTTGAAAAAACCTCTCAAAATAGTCAAAAACTGGCTTTTTTCCAAGTGGAAACTGGGACAAGTTAGATAAAAATCGCAATTTCTCTACTCAAAAAAATGAAAAAAAATGAAAATTGGCTTTGAACATGCTTCTACTTTAGTTTCCAAAAGAAAAATGCCTGAACTTTGTTAGTTCCACGCTTTTAGTTGCATGCGCAGAAAAATGTGCAGTGCAAAACAAGGGAATTACCTTAAGTCKTCCTGTAGTTTTGTTAATAGTCCAGAATTACAGGCCATGAAATAGGTAATAGACGTATAGAAGTCAGTTTCAGTAAAGTATCATCCAAAACCTTACAATTAACCCTCTCAGACATCATATCATTGTCTTACCGACAACCTATAAGTTCCTGTCTAACTTGCAGCCACAATGTTTTTTTAAACCTAGCACATTTTTTCTTACAAGCCCCAGCTATAAATTTTTTGGGGTAATTGTTATTGTTTTTGGAAAATCATCATGTTCATGTGTTTTGATCTTTTCCAATATTAAATGAATTTCTAATCATAATTACTTAATGGATAATTTGATGGAATGCATGGTGAATGGCACCAATTCATACAGAATCTTCCAAATCTGGAGACAGATTGGAATATTTCATATGCATCTAACACATGGGGCAATGCCCTCACCTCCCAAACATTTTGAAATTGAAGCTCTTAGAACAACGATTTCCCATGTTTTATAGGGGCAATAGTAACATATTTAATGCATTAAACTCATGCCAAAGCATCAGGCAAATGAGAAAATAATTTTTTGGCTAAATATGTTTGGAGCTAAGTCCTCCAAACCAAAGTAGGTGGTTGATAAAAGTTCCAATTGGGCACTTTAGAAATGAGCAGGAGACTGGGATGAGTTTTGAATTTTGATCTAATAATTAGTAAATTTTTTACATTTTCTGAAAGCAATAATTCTTGTTCTTTTCATCTAATCTTGTTCAAATTTGCCAGACTTACTAATCTTGAGATCCTTTCTAAARACCACATTAAAGTTTATTCCTAAAAAGAGTACAAAACAAAAACTTGTCCCAGTCTCTTGCTTGTTTCTAAAGTGGCCAATTTGACATTTTGCAGAAATGATTGGGGGTTGAAAAAGGTCTATCACAGTTGCTCAAAATCCAGTGATCACTATTTTTGCTATAAACAAGGTCAAGCATCCAATAATCCTTGGTGTCAACTTTTTAAACCAAAACAACAAATCGTTTCTGCAAATGGCAATTGAAACTTTTTTTATTTTGACCTGGCCAGCTACTGACTACCATTGACCTAYCAACATTCTACTGTTAAAGACCCATTGCCACTTACCGTGATGCATCACAATTTGTTTACATTTTGAATCGTGTCACCATTGAAAAAACAATTCTGACCTTTTGAATAAACTCTTAGATAGTCCCTAAAGCCGTAAAACAATGTAAAAGAATAATTTTTGTGCCTTAGTGCTATKTCGGAAAAGGATATAATATGACGTTATTATTCAATATGTGAATCTTTGAATTTCATGGACCACAAAATTCATCTGTGACCGCTGTGCATCACGGTAAGTGGCAATGGGTCTTTAACCTGCAGACCAACAATCTTCCAATGACTAACCCAAAAACTCMCTAGGACACCCTACTGATAATGCACTGGTACTCTTACTATTGGAACTCTACTGATATTGATTTTGCGGTTTCACTTTACCATACCCATAGAATTTATGGAACATCTGTTTAATTTTCTGTAAAATGGTCATGCTTATGTAATCATCAGGGGAGAAACTGCCTCACCTGACACCAAAACCTCTAGAGATGAGAAAATATCCCTCTTGGATTTCCTTGATAAGTAAGTAATTTTAACTATCAGATTTAGTAGTATCATCATGTTATTAGAAATTTATGATACTATAATAGTTCATACCGTTAAAATACTTATTTTTATAATCATTTGTACATCATTTAACCCCAAGGTAAACTTATTTTAAAATCAAAATAGTTTAAAGGTAAGTCAGGCTTTCAGCCTATTTATGAATCATGATGATGTCATTTTGTCATCTGTCTCTGAATGGATCATGATGTCAGTTCACCATCTATCTTGATGTACTAAATCATATGATGTTATTTGATATGATGTCATTGCATCATTTGTCTTATATGAATCATGATCATGTCATTTTGGAGTCAGAAAGAGAACCAAGCAACCCACGGCTCTCATAGGGCAACTAATGTTTGAACACCAGACCTCRGAGTTGAGAGGCAAGCGTTTTACMCACTATGCCATACATCCTGACTCCCAGTAAAATCTTGTAAAAGATCATGATGCCATTCATCATCTTGCCTTGTTATAAATCTTTATGTCAGTTCATTATTTGTCTTATGAATCATGATATAATTTCTTTATCTGTCTTGTAATGAATCATGATGTCATTTCAATATCTTGTCTTGTAATGAATCTTTATGTCAGTTCATTACTTGTCTTCTTATGAATCATGATGTCCTTTCCTTATCTGTCTTGTAAAGAATCATGATTTTATTTCCTTATCTGTCTTGTAATGAATCGTTATGTCA